ATTTTGGCATATGCCCCTGAGGGATACTGGTTTATAGTCTTCTTTTCCTGTCATATCTTTGTCTTGGTATCAGAGTAATACTGGCTTCATGTAATGAACTGAGAAGTGTTTGTCTGCGATTTTCTGAAAGAGCTTACATGGAATTGGCATTATTTCATCTTTAAATGTTTGGGAGAATTTCACTATGAAGCCATCTGACTTGGAGTTTTCTTTGTAGGAAGGATTTTTTTGGGGGCAGAGAAGAATAAACTTTATTAAGCATATGTAAGGAACTCCTACAAATAGATAGCAAAAAAAACCACAACAATGGAATGAATGGGAAAAATATACCAAATACCTTTCAAGAGGTAGGATACCCACGCTGGTTAATTAGATATGTCAAAGGGGCTCAACTTCCACAGGCATCAAAGAAATGCAAACAAGCCAATGCCTGCAACCATCACACAACCATTTAGAAGGCTAAATGCAAATGACAGGAATTCTCGAGGGTTAGTAAGGAAGGAGATGAAGCCAAATCTCATTCACTGACCATGACTATGAAAACTGAATACTAGTGTTTGTGAAATGTTTGCTCCAATAATTCCCTTACCCTCTGAAGATAGGTGCATGGCCGTGCATGTGCACCATGCACATTTCTTCGTTCTGAGTTTCCCTACTCCTATATTTTATTTTTACCTTAATATATTTATGTACTGTATTCAATAGAAACCAAAACCAAAATAATGCGTGTCTTCTGCAGCCCCAGAAAAGGCCCAGCTGTAAAAAAAACATATTGGTTATTATGGAAATAGGTATCGTGATTCATAAAGGGGAGGCTTCTGATTATCCTTCTTTATAGAAAGGATTTTAACGATTAATTGAATCTAATTTCTTTAAAAGACATAGGGAGTTTTTGGTTAACTATTTCTTCTTGAGTGAGCTTTCAAAGTTTGTGCCCATCAAGGAATATGATCATTTATCTAAGTTGTCAAAGTTATTGGCCTAAGTTTGTTCTTAACATTCTCTTATTATTCTTTTAATGTTTACAGTGTCTGTAGTTATATCCTTTTTCCTGTTTTTTTTTTTTATTCCAGATGGAGGTAATTTTTGACTTCTTCTTTTCTTGATCAATCTCTCTAGAGGCACGTCAATTTTATGGATCTTTTCAAAGAACCATCCAGTGGTTTCACTGATTTTCTTCCTTGTGTTCTCAATTTCATTGATTATCGTTCTTGATTATTTATTTCTCTCTGCTTACTTTAGGAAAGAAATTTATCTAATTAGGAATTAGGTCACTGATTTGGTACTGTTTTTAGTTAACAGCTCTCTAAACCAAGCATTTCTACACCAGAGAAACTGAACTTGAGGAACCTCATTCACATTTGGACCTGATGTAGATCAAGGGATTCATAGTATAACTGGAAACACAATTTAAACCTGAAAGCCAAGTCTCAAGCTTGCTGGAAATAATGAGTTAAGATATTTTCACACATGCCTAAGAGTACAACAGGAGTCTTGAGGACTGAGATACCACTTTTGTTGAAAACAGATAGCATCTGTTATGGTAACTCTCCCTTCCTGGTGGAGGGTATGAGAAGCTTATGTGTGTCCATCAGTCTGAAGGATCCTTGAATATATTCTCTCCTTTGCTTACGTGATTTCTCCAACTAGAAATGTTAAATGAAGAATTTTTCATTTTTTCAAAACCAATTCCACCTCTCACAACAAATTCCACCAATATGCTTTCAGGAACAACTAGCAGCACCACTCCAAATGGCTTAAACTACTAGGATATTTATTATTTTGTGTAACAAGGAGTCCAGAAGATAAGGTAGGTTTGGGGTAAGTTAATTGAAAAAACCAACGATCTTTATTCAAGAACCCTTAACCTTTCCCTGCTCTGCCATCTCCACTGAGAAACATTGGTTCAGTGCTTTTAAGCTGTAGATAGGGTCATGTGTAGGTACACCAACCAACACAGTAACAGAATCAGAGCTTTGCAGGGAGGGAAGAAGACAGACGCATTCACTAGACAACCAATAGCACTTACACAAAGATCCAACCTCAAATACTGAAATTTCAAAAAGCTTTCCTGAGTACTCAAATCGTCATGTTACATGTATGGCTTAAATAATTACAGGGCATTTTAAAGTATCTCTCTGAAATAAGATTATCACTAGAACATAGTAAGATGTTCGTGATATAATATGTTAAATGACACAAAGCTGTATAAAGTACTTTTTTCCTAGACCATTTGAACTAAGTAACAGAACAATTATGCCACATTAAGTCAATCACTCAGCATTTCAGTATTTTAAACTACTAACTTCTCTTTTTTAATCTCAATATACTTATTCTTCCTTTTATTTTTATTTTTGTATTGAACTATAGTTGATATACAAACAATGTTTCAAGTATACAACACAGTGGTTCAACAGTTACCCACATTATAAGTCCCCACCCCAATAGTGCAGTTACTATTTGTCAACACAGGTAGGTGTTAGAGAATCATTGGCTGTATTCTCCATGCTGCACTACCATTCCTGTGATCAACTTATATTATGACTGAGAATTTTTGTGCCCCTTTATCCCCCTCACTCTCCTCGCCTACCCACTCCAACCCCTCCTCCATGGTACCCACCAGTCACTTCTCAGTGTCTATGTCTACTGCTATCTTGTTCATTTTGTTTTGTTTAGTTTTTAGATTCCATAAATAAGAAAAATGGTATTTTGTCTTTCTCCACCTGGCATTGAGTATAATACCCTCTAGGTCCATCTATATGGTTACAAATGGCAGGATTTCTTTCTTTTTTATGGCTGAACAATATTCCATAGTGTATATGTACCACCTCTTCCTTACCTATTGATGGACACTTTGGTTGCTTTTATATCTTGGCTATTGTAATAATGTAGCAATAAACATAGGGATGCACATATCTTTTCAACTCAGGGATTTTGTTTTCTTTGGGTAAATTCCAAGAAGTGAAATCACTGGGTTGTATGGTATTTCTACTTTCAGTTTTTTGAGAAATCTCTGTACTACTTTCCCATGGTGGCTGCAATTTACATTCCCACCAACAGTGTAGGAGGGCTCCCTTTTCTCCATATCCTTGTCAACACTTGTTATTTCTTGTCAGAATGGATAGTGGCCATTCTAACGGGTGTGAGGCGATATCTCATTGTGGTTTTGATTTGCATTTCCCTGATGATTAGTGGTGTTGAGCATCTTTTCATAAGCCTGTTGGCCATCTGTATTTCTTCTTTGGAAAAATGACTGTTCAGATCCTCTACCTATTTTTTAATTGGGTTATTTGGGTTTTTTTGGTGTTGAGTCTAACTTGTCTTTACATAGAGGAGGCATCTTCAAATTAAGGTCACATAAAGGTGGGCAGACTATGACTGTTAGTTGATTAATAAATCTTAGAATGCAGAAGAGTCAAAGGGCTATTATGGCTGCCTGTTTTGGCTCTTAACTGACAGTTGCTATATTTCAGGGCTCTCAATGCTAATTGGCACTATCAATCCCAAGTATTTTGGGATTATTGAACAAGTATAAATGAGTAATAAATAAAAGACAAAACCAAATAAGTTACAGGTCAAAGTGCTGAATTTTCCATCAAAGAGTTAATTTGGTTGCATTTACAGACCTGCCATAATTTTAGATACATGACTGTTAGGAAACTAATCTACATGTTATTCTTAAACTAATCTGTGCATGAACATGTATTTTGTAACTCTGAATGGTCTTTCCAAAGATGTGTAAACTCACACATGAAAATGACATTGCTGATAATAAGCTTTCTTTAAAAAATCATTAAATTCTGAATGTCTCTTTCAATAATACTCTTATCTTTCAAACAAAAACAGTGAAGAGAGACATATCATAATTAGATCGCAATTATACAACAACACACTTTCTTGGATAAGAAGGATGTGACTTCATTAGATAATGTCAACAACATTAACTATTTCTTTAAACAAACAAAGGAACAAAAAATTTCCTAGTATATTCCTTATTTAAAAACTTACTTAAGATTCTAAATTAACCAGTCATTGGGTCTCAAAAGCAAAGCAACCATTTCAACTTTTTTAGATCATTTTAGAAGAAAACTCCTTGGAACAGATCAAATCAAAGGGTCTCTGGTAAATCTACCTGATTAAAAAAAAGTTTTTATTTATCTATTAAGGGATGGGTGGCACAAAGGGCACTTTCTTCAAAGAAAGCATCAGGAACTTAAGACTCATGCTGTGGGAGCACTCCTATACTACTGGGGAAGGGGCGGACCCCCTCCATATCCTGGGTCAGAGAGTCTAAGTGATTTTGGTCCCTCAGGAAGGATTTCCGCCTGGGCCCACAGGGAGCACTAGGAACATCTTCACTGTACTAAGGAAATGAGAGGCAGATGGCCTCTGTAATAAGATGTTCATCCTCATGAGGATGTACTGAGTGTGACAATGTAGAGAATCACTTAACTCTGCTATGAAGGGACATTTAAAAAAAGGTTAACTGTGTAACTTTTGTTACACTATGTACTGTATGTGACAATTTTATTTCCAGGTGTGGAAAAATTTCATGCTGCAATCTGAAGTAATTTTTGAGAATATTTAAGGGTTGTCTGGAATGTGACATCCTGGACTTAGGAGCTCTATGTAAGTTCACGGGGCAACACAAGCAGCTAAATTTCTTTTCTATATTTTGTTATAGTACTAATAAAAAAGTGGAAGAGAATACTATTTAATGACCAATAAGGGCATGCATAAAACATCACATAATTATAANAAAAAAAAAAAAAAAAAAAAAAAAAAAACTGAGTTAGCTAAGCCAAACACAATTACCCAGGATTCAACTCTCAGTAAGAAAACTCAATATTAAAGTTATCATTTCAGGTCTTTCATGTGGCCTTATCAAGACTTATTTACAGTAAATCATATTTAACTGGTATGATCAGGGATTGGTCCTTCTTAACTGGTTACTGAGAATTAACTTTAAAGCAACAATATTCGATAGTAGCAATACTGACCAGTGGCAATCTAACGTATGCCAATAGACTTCATTCAGTAAGAACACAGGAAGACCTTGGAGATATTGTGGGATCAGTTCCAGGCCACTGCAATAAAGTGAACAACACAATAAAGTGAGTCAAATCAATTTTTTGGTTTCTCAATGCATATAAAAGTTATGTTCATACTATATAGTTAAGTGTGCAGTAGTAATAAGTCTTAAAAAAACATATGTACCTTAATTAAAAAATACTTTATTGCTAAAAAATGATAACCATCATTTGAGCTTTTATAAGTCAATCTTTTGGCTGGTGGAGAGGTTTGCCTCATTGTTGATGGCTGACTGACTTAACAGGAAGATGACGGTTGCTGAGGGTTGGGGTGTCTGCAGCAATTTCTTAAAATAAGACAACAATGAAGTCTGTCGCATTGACTGACGCTTCCTTTTGTGAATATTTCTTCGTAACATGCAATGCTGTTTGATAAAATTTTACCTATAGAACTTCATCCAAAGCTGGTCAATCCTCTCAAACCGTTCAGCTGCTTTGTCAACCAAGTTTAATGTAATATTCTAAATTCTTTGTTGTAATTTCAACAATCTTCACAATATCTTCACCAGGAGTAGATTCCATCTCAAGAAACCACTTTCTTTTCTCATCCCAAAGAAGTAATCCTTGACTGTTCAAGTCTGATCCTGAGATGCAGCAATTCAGTCACATCTTCAGGCTCCACTTCTAATTCTAGTTCTTTTGCTATTTCTACCACATCTGCAATTATTAACTCCACTGAAGTCTTGAACCCCTCAAAGTCATCCAGGAGGGTTGGAACTAACTTCTTCCAAACTCCTGTTGGTGTTGATATTTGGACCTCTTCCCATGAATCACAAATATTCTGAATGGCATCTAGATGGACTCCTTTACAGAAGGTTTCAACTTGCCCAAATTCATCAGAGGAATCACTATCTATAACAGCTATTGCCTTACTCATGTAATGTATTTCTTCAATAATAAGACTTGAAAGTAGGAATTACTTCCTGACCCAGGGGCTGCAGAACAGATGTTGTGTCATCGGCATGCAAACAGCACTGATCTCACTGCACATCTCCGACAAAGCTCACGGGTGGCCCAAGTCAGCTGTCAAAGGAATCTTTTTTCTAAGGAGTAGGTCTCAACAGTGGGCTTAAAATATTCAGTAAACCATGCTGTAAACAAATTAGCTATCATCCAGACTTTGTTGCTCCATTTTTGAGCACAGGCAGAGTAGATTTAGCATAATTCATAAGGGTCCTCAGACTTTTGGAATAGTACAGGAGCACTGGCTTCACCTTCAAGTCACCAACTAAATTATCCCCTAACAAGAGAGTCGGCCTGCCCTTTAAAGCTTAAACCAGGCCCTGACTTCTCTTTAGCTCTGAAAGTTCTAGATGGATCTTCTTCCAAAAGAAGGCTGTTTTGTTTACATTGCAAATCTGTTATTTAGTGTAGCTACCTCCATGAGTGATCTCAGCTGGACCTTCTGGGAAACATGCTACAGCTTCTACATAAGCACTTGCTGCTTCACCTTTCACTTAAATGTTATGGAGACGGCTTCTTTCCTTCCACCTCATGGACCAACCTCTTCAAACTTTTCTTCTGCAGCTCCCTCATCTCTTTACCCTTCATAGAACTGAAGCGAGTTACGGCCTTGCTCTGGATGAGGTTTTGACTCCGGGACATGTAGCTGGTTTGACCTTCTATCCAGACCACTCAAACTTTCTCCACATCAGCAATAAGGTTGTTTTGCTTTCTTATCATTCATGTGTTCACTGGAGTAGCACTTTAAATCTCCTTCAACAACTTTTCCTTTGCATTCACAACTTGACTATTAGGTGCAAGAGACCTACCTTTTGGCCCACCTCATCAACATGACTTCCGCACTAAGCTTAATCATTTCTACCTTCTGATTTAAAATGAGACATGAGCAACTCTTCCTTTCATTTTAACACTTAAGAGGCCACTGTAGAGCTCTTAATTGGCCTAATTTCAATATTGCTGTGTCTCAGGGTATAGGGAGGCCCAAGAAAAAGGAGAGAGAGAGGAACAGCCTGTCAGTGGAACAGTCAGAACACCACAACATTTATTATGTTCACCGTCTTCTGTGGTCACGGTCCATGGTGCCCCAAAGTAATTACAATGGTAACATCAAAGACCACTGATCACAGATAACATAACAAATATAATAATAATGAAAATTTTAAAATATTGCAAAAATTACCATAACATGGCACATAGACACAAAGTGAGCAAATGCTGTTGGAAAAATGGAGCCTAGACTTGACTCAGAGTTGCCACAAACCTTCAATCTGTTAAAGAAAAAAAACACAGTATATGCAAAGCACAATACAACAAGGTAAGCCTATATTATAATCTAGATATTTTGAATTTAGGTCCTTGCTAATGTGCATGTTTTCAGAAACAGGTAAAATCCGTATCAATTCCTGGGTACTTCCTTAAAAGTTCTTTGTTTTCTTCCACTTTCTCAATGATTCCTAGTTAAACTGAATTTTCCTCTGTTTACTGCATTACACTCACCCGCAAAAGTTTTTTGTCACCCCAGTGTTTACCACCTTACTTCTCTCTCTGCTGCATCCTTCCTTCTTTTCCTGTCTATGGTTTCCTTCTCTCTCGCAATATGCAGGAACTTGGTTTACACATCAATCACAGAGAGCAAGCTTAAATTTTAGATCTTTGTGGAGTCCTAACACACAACTAAAATTTTCTGCTCTTCTCCACATATTACCTACTATGGCCCCACCATTCAAAACAATACTGCTTATTGGGGGCTTTTGATTACTTGGGACCGAGTTGGGAATTCACTATACATTTTGTATCAGAGCTTCTCATGACTGAACTCAAACCAATTTCTTGAAGCAATTCATGAAAGAGACTCCACTTAACTTGAGTGACAAAATGTATGTTATTTTTCACTAGAGAAAGGAGAAATTTGTATTTTAGACATATGTCAGATTCAAAGATAATCATTTCTGAAAAGTTGTTAAAACTTCTGAGTATAAACATTTCTACAGTATTTGGCAGACATTCAACACACATGATTTTTCTTGAATTTCACTTACATCTGCTATGCCAAGTGCATAAAAAACACAAATTTGATGGTCATTGTTTTCTCCTCTATTGGTATCACCTTGGTTAAGGCTCTTTTAAGTAATTAAAAGCACAATTACAGAAAATGTGGTGCTATCTTTATCCTAGCCAAATCTTAATGGAATGAGCAATAGGGGACTACTTAGATGAAGGTTAACACATCCACATAATGCAATACTTTGCAAATGTAAGAAGTAATGAAGTTCTCTATATGTTGATATTTAAAAACCCACTATATAATTGTCAAATAAGATGAAGAAAAGCATATATAATATGCTATGTCTGTTGAAAAAAGGAAGTGAAAATAGTAGTATGTTTTTGTAAAGAGAAATTCTTGAAAGATATACAGCAACCTAAAAACTGTAGATGTAGGAAGGAACTTGGTGCGTGAAGGGTATACAGAGTGACCTAACTATCACTATACAACTTCCTACATTTCTTAGTTTTTAATCATATGGAATATATTGGGTATTGAAAAATAATCTAGTTTTAAATCTCATTGGCAATGAGATGATAAATTAATATCAAGTTAATGGATAAAAAATTACTTTTAATTAAAATATCATGCTGAAAACCAACGTGCTAACAAGAACAAACAAAAAAGGGGGTCGAGGAGAAAAGGCTGCCCACTATTTCCTAAAAGGAATTCCTGTGACTCCCTTGGTATCATTTACTGTATCATTATCATAAATTATTTGCCAATAATTTATATTCAAAATACCCAGCTAAGTGCTGGGTGATGTGTTCCTTACACTCAAAACTTTTACAACCCCCACCCCACCCCGTGTTTGTCTCTGCCTGCACCTACACATCTTTGTTTCTTCAATGTCTTTCTTTTCCCTATTTCACCTTCTAGTCTCTTTCTTCTTCCTCCTTTTGTCTCAGCCCACTCTTGCCCTAATATAGAACTGAATTATTTGCAGGAAAAAAAACCCTTTACAACCTAACTGTCCAATTAAAAACCTGTTCAAAACAAACAATAATTTAAAGTAGACTAGCCTAATGCCAAAGGAGTGGTGCAATGTATGTTCCAAATGACTCAAATAAGTGATTGATCACTGAGACCAAATAAATGAAGACTTCATAAAAGCCACAGAAATTAGATAAGTGGAGAGGGAGAAAGACCATTCCAGAGAAGTGGAATTGCTATAATAAAGATGCCAAGGAAAAAAAAAAACAGATGATGTTCAAGGATATTGACTAAACCAGTTTGACTTAACCAGGAGGCTGGTAAACATAACAGTGAGAGAAAAGAATGAAGTCTTATAACCTATAGCAATACCTGATATTTGTACAGTAATTTATATTATCTCATTTGATCACCAAAACAACCGTATGAGAAAAGGTGGATTGTAGAGGGCCCTGCTTATCAGATTATAAATATCTAGCAGCAGTATCGAATCTATCCAATTAAGGATAAAGAAACTGGAAGCAGGGATACTTGTGAAAGTTCAGACATAAGTTAGTAAGGACTCAAGTTAAAGTGACAGCAGTGGGAACAGAAAGGAAGAAATCTGTAGGTGCTGTGGAAGAAGGTAAAAAGGGTATGAGGGTTTAGACCTCAGTTACTAGGGGAATGATGGTATAATTAAAAGAAATACTGAAGTCCATATGGAGAGGAGGTATTTTTAGTAATAGACTTTGGTTTCTGAAATACGTTGAAGCCAACAGTGGCACATCCCAGTTTTTAGAGCCTCTATCACACGTTCCAACGAGTGTGTTCTAAGTCCACCATCACCTAGCCAAATAAGACATGTTTCTCTGCCCATGATCCCCCCAAGACTGTTGCTCTTGGTAGGGAGGAATGGAGAGTGACTGCTGAGTGGATGTGGGGTCTCCTCTGGGGATGATGGAAATGTTTTGTAACGAGAGATGGGTGATGGCTGTCTAACTTTGTGAAACTAAATGCCCTTTGAACTGTACGCTTTAAAATGATTAATTTATGTTACGTGAATTTCACTTCAATG